CCCCCCCCCCCCCCCCCCCCAAAAAAAAAACAAAAAAAACAAAAAAAAAAACGGAGGGCACTGGTTCCAGTATCCGCCCTGGTCCCACTCACCCTCCTGTCGTCGACCTCTTCCGTGACTACCTAGGTTGTAATGTTTCGTCTCGAGGCTTGAAAATGTCTGTGAAGCAATATCAAGTTCCCAAGATGGAGACCGACAATAACTCTAAAGCAACACAAAGTTCGATGCCCGAATGGCACCGTCAATAAGCAATGCGAAGAAGGACTACCTTGCAGGTCAATGCGATAGGCATAAGACCAGCAACACATCTGCGCACCTAGTTCCACAGAGGCCGAGAGCTCCTTACAATAAGGGCACGAGAAGTCCAGTCCTTTGCTTCTTTTATTGGGAGAGAAAGGTACCTACCTATCGTTGTAGTTCCCCATACCATCATTTCTCTTTAAGCTCTACATGGTACAAGGAACCAGACTACCTACCTAAGGATTGGAACTGTCTCCGCACCTTATGTCTCTATAATCGTGCAGTGACCGTGAATGTGAAAGTTGATACCTTCTTTGTTTCCCATAGAGGCATCCCTTCTTTTTCCTCCCTGCGTGCAATTCCACAATAAGGCGTTAACAGAAAATATAAACCGATAGCACGTCTTACAAACCTCTTCAACAACATACTCCCACTACCTAGAGGTACATTATATTACCACCTGGCTAGCCCAGTCTCAAAAGAGTCAAAATACCTAGGTACCGCTAGGTGTTGGAACCCATTGGACTACCACACGGCAGCCCGTATATATATATAAGACTAGCTACCACGCTCCCTGGTAGGCTCCTCAGATACCTCCGAAAGGAACTCTCTCCGTCGGACTAGAGGTAACCTAGCGTACTAGTTCAACTTCCCAAAAACGTCGTCCTACAAGCCGTAGAAGTTCATATTTTGGTAGAGGTATCCGCGTGGGAATTATTGATGTTGACGGCATATAGGCAAGGCGTATGCACTTGACTTGCAGGTCTGCATCAATACCTAGGTAGGTAGAGATACATATCTCTATTCAGAAAAGAGTCCAGCACTCACAATCTACTCAAGAGTGAAGTATGGCGCCAGTATCAACGTGCAATGTTGGTACCACACTTGGCTGGCCTTGAAGTTGGATGTGCGCTTGTAATAGTTTTCCAGTAGAGCCTTGAGAAGTTATTGGATCAAAGGCTGGACGCGACCAGGACATAGGGCCTCCAGGAACTTACATGTACACTATCGGCCACCCCTCTCCTTCTTCATCTTGACCTATTGGGTATATAAAATAAAAGCCTCCAAGTGACTTGCAGGGTATGCGCCTCAGACTTCTTACGTGCTTAAGACTCTTGCAGCTTCTAGATGTCTTTGTAGAAGAGGAAGGTCAAGAGCGGGATTGTCCTCTACCTGCTCCCGTTGACGTTCGACTTCCGTCCCATTGTCAGTCATGACCCGCGTCCAAAACTGCAGCTCACCATGTCCACGGAGAATCGAGCCAGCGACACCATGGTGGCTTTGGTGGCTATTTCCTACCTGGCAGGCCAAAAGGTAGACGACGAAAGCTGAGAAAAGGCGTATATTTGCTCTATATACCGAACCGAAAAGCTCGTAGCAAGCACTTTTGAAGAGGTCTGGTGCTTATTCCTTGAAAAGCATCTTGCAGACATCGCAGGACCCAGCTTTTAAAGTACATTAATCTCGTAAATCCTTAGAGGTAACCAGGCAATAACAACAAAGAGCAATGAAACCCACAAGGGACCCCAACCAAGGTACGAAAGACCAACTTTTCCATCTCCTCCATTCAACTCCGAAACTCCGCGCAATACCCCAACCCCCAACCCAGATCGACGATAAAGAAACGAAAGGGAATTAAGCCATCTTGACACGGAAAAGATATCTCAGACGAATCTGGGCAACATCATACGCAATGTACTCGTTGTACAACAGAGAACAGCCCGGGACGTTTGTGTTGCCTGGTTTGACCGAGGTGTCGGGCTGAACTTGTCATTAGCAACCATCCCTTCCTTGTCAGTATCAAAAACAGAAGCGAGAAAATAACTTACCATCATCACCCCCTGCAGTGCCGGGTTCACAACGCCAGCATCCTTCCACTTCAACGGGCCAGTTCCTCCCTTACCCCACGTGGAGAGCATCCCGTTCTGCTTGGCGTGCTCTCCAGCATTGTAATCGGCACCAGTCAACTCCTGGATGGGGTCGCCAAGCTCAGCCTCGCAGAGCAAGAGGAGTGCCGTGCCATTGGAGAGATATGCACAGCAGTAGCCGGCCGATTTACTGGACATATCCGCCAGATAGACGCCCTTGCCAAACATGTAGCCATTGACGGGCGCTTCCGGCGGCGCGATGCGGAGACCCTGGCTGAGAATACCGCCGAAATTGGTGGAGCGGGAGCCGTGCCACAAAAGCTTGCGATTCTTCTTGAGCTTCATCTTGCCGTCGGCATAGTCACTCTGGTCGAACCGGCCGAACTCGCCCTGGCGCTCGATACGGAATATCTCCTCCACTTGGTAGTTGAGACCGTGAGTATTACCCCGTGTCTCGACCAGGTAGTCTGCCAGTTGGGCGAACTCGGTGGAAGCCCGATCCAAAGGCGTCATCTCCTGCATCTTGAGGCCTTGGTACTGTCTGTCCAGGGGATGGACATCGAACTGAGTCTTGTCGATTCTCATGATGTTGCTAGCTTCCTTCATATCGCTCAAGTTCTCAAGCAGCTCGATTTCCTGCTTCAACTGCTCGTCGGTCGCAATGACAGGTGGTCGCTCACGACCGAACGCATGCGGAATTACGGAGTAATAGGTGTTTGACAAATGCTCAACCGCTTGCTGGTACGGCAGACCATACTGGGAAGCTTTGGTGGGATCGGCGAACAACTCAGAAAGATTCTTAAGCGCCTGGAAGCCGCGCATAATGGTGGCCTTGCTGAGCTTTCCCAATGGTAACTTGTTGCGATCGTACTTAAGTGCCGCCATGGTGTTGTCCATTAACTGCTGGTTGAAGATGAGTTCCATGAGCTTAGCCACTGAAGGGTGGAGTGTGCATTTGAGAGGCTTCTGGTCCTCTTTCTCTTCTTTCGTGGCCGCGCCGCCCCCCGCTTCCTCTTCGTCATCGGATTCATACTTATAGTTCACCTCGACGAAGGCATACTTCTTGGGCTTGGGGTTATCGCCTCGGTTGCTCCAGAGCAATCCCGACTTGTCCTTGAACTTCTTTTCGAAAGTTTGCAGGGCATCTTGGAGAGACGGGCAGTCGATGAGCGCGTGCTGGCCGGATTCTCCGACACGCCCCCAGCGCGTCCAGACAGCGCACCGGTCGTTCTGCTGCGTCAGAAGCTATTTGATGAGTTAGTCTGGGGGTGCGGCAGGCGACGTTGTGACGGTGACTTGCCTGAAGACGATAGAACTTGTTGTTGTTGCCAGTGGAATTGGTCAGGTTCAATGATGCGTCATAAATAACACCATCAGAATCAACATGAACGGCGTAGCCATATGGAGCGCCGGCGTCCACAGGGATCTGCACAGTCTTGTCTTTCAAGATTTGACCCTCGCCCATGGCCCTTTTGGTTTCGAGTTTGGACCTTTTCAGAGTGTCCTCCTCCTCACCATCAGCCTTGGCGCCATCCTGCGCTGGCGACGGCGATCTCTTTCTCTTGGTGCCTCTGGTGTCATCGCCGTTGGTCTGGGAGGCAGTATCTGCGTCAGCCACGGAAGCGTCGCTTGCGGCATCCAAGGAGGACAAGTCCAGAGCGTAATCCTTCTCGGGTTGTCGGGCGTTGGTCTCTTTGGTCTTCAGCAGCCAGTCGATGCTGACAACGGGGATGCTCATTCCGTGTGCCTGCTTGACTTTGGCGCTTATCTTGTCGGCGCTCTTGTCGGAGTAGACTACATGGGTGACGCTCTGTACGATGGTAGTCCCGGTGGTGTTTGCTCCGAGGGACTCTGCTGTTTTCTTGTGCTGGTCTTGACCGCCAACAAAGGTTCCGCTAAAGACGATGCGACAGTCTTCAAGCGGAAGTTTGGCCGGGGCAGCCGCTTCCTTCTTTGCTCGTCTGGGCGGCATCGTGACGAACTGATGGGGTCTCAAGAGGAAACAAAGGTGTGAAGTGTGAAGGCGCGTCCGAAAGTAAACAAACAATGGGGCGTGTGTGTAGTAGAAGGATGAGACAGGGCACTCCACGACCGTGTCAAGATTGATCAACAACCTCAAAGTCGAAGTGAGATGGACCTGATGGAAAACCCGAGAGAACTTCAGCTGAGAGGAGTTCAGTTGACAAGAAGAGACGAAGGATGAGTGTGACAAAGGAGAAGGAAGGAAGCAGCAACTCGGTTTCGCGAGATATCATTTCATTTTCTATCTCCTGTCGAGCCATACAAACAACCCATTTGGGGTAAGCGCGCTCAACGTGCCTTCCAGGCAACAGCCGCCCCTGCTCTCCCTCTATTGAACCACTTTAACGCCAATTCATCGCGAAATCACGGGACAGACCGCAGGAGAGTTGCCTGCTCTTGCCATTTGTTCTTCAGGCACAGCAGGCAGCTCATCAAGGTGATCCACAAAACGCCAGGCAACAACCACCCCTGCATTCCGAATTGGCCAAAGTGACGTGATGCCAAGAGCTGGGGTAAGGAGCTTCCACTTTGGAGCTTTGGGGTTCCTCGACAATGAAGAGATGCCCGCCGCGCCAGCAACAAAAGACCATCTGTCGTTTCGTGGTGACAAAACATTATGTCTTGATTAATTGGCCTACGAGGGTTATAGCCCATGGGAGGAGTGTGATAACGGTAAGATGCGATTGCGGTCAACTCGAGATCTCACAGTCCGTGGCTTCGTTGATTGTTAGCGTGTGGGGAGAAGTGTGTGATCTAGAGAATGTGATTGGTCCAGATACTCGAAAAACTGGGGTAAAGAGAGAGTTCTGAAGAGCCTCTCAGTATTCCAGAAGCAGTAAAGTGAAACAGTTCCAGCGCTTTCCCAAAACTTGAATTGCCAAAGTCCACCGAGCCAGGAAACACCGGCCGCTTCTAGACAAAAACAAACAGTTGAACTCCATCGCATATTCTCTCATTCCAGCTGTTCACCGTAGATTGTAGGGCTTCACAGACTCGGTCTTTTCTGTTGATCAAGATCCTCATGTTCCGGGCAACGCGAGGGAGCATTTTCGACGCTCAAACCCCAAATCCAACTTTACAGTCCTCAAGCCACAACCACCTTTCCAGCTCTCTCTCACCCTGCCCGCTTTCACCTCGCACTTGGAAGAGCCATTAACACACCTAGGTAAGTAGTGTATCATGCAGCGCACACACACCAGCCCGACGGCCACGGCCACGACCACATCGCCAAGTCAATTGACTCTCCAGCCTCAGCTGCCAGCCCCAAGGTCCAACTTAAGCCCTCCAAGAAAAAGATCGTCAAACTCTCCACCCCTCAGCTGCCAGCCTTGAAATCCATCCAAGCCCTCCAAGAAAAGATCGTCATGCTCCCGTCGCCACACACCTACCAAAACAACCATCAAGCTTTCTTATCGGGTATCGCCACCTCCTTGATTTTGAGGCTTAAACTACCGCGATCCGCGCTGGGCCCAAACCGTTCTAGATCTTCCCCAACCCATTGAACCTGGTCC